CATGTAGATATGCATTTATGCTGTAAAATGTAAATAATGATACTCTTGATTCGTTACCTCGGATCGACGCACACAATCACTCGTGACAATTTCGTGGTCATCTTTTATTAGAACGCTTCGATTTCCTTTTCGAGCGTAAGTTTTGCGCAGTACCCCAGCTTAGCTATGGGAGAAAAGGCACTAAACGGAGCTGTTACATAGCTCTGAGACGCCTTGTATAGATACTGTACTGTGAATTGTAATATCAGCCGCCGCCGCCGCCGCCCGTTCGGGCTCTCAGTCGGCTCAAAAAGCCGCCGCTCAGGCCGCTGGGTCTTCGTACGGACTTAACACGGGGTCACGGCCCATTAACAAGGGCCTTGCGTGATGTGAGACAGGCGGAAACGAGGTGAGCCCGCGGAGGACGAGGGAAGTGGGCCTTTGCGGGTCAAGCAGGAGGGAAACCGGAGCGATCATCGGGCCGACGCCACCAGTCCTCAGTGTTGCCAAGGGCTCTTGCATTCACTCCTCAGTCAGGTCAGCTCAAACTCTTAGAATGCTTAAATCTTCATCCTTATATACCGTATGCATGCGCATTTTTCTCCCTCAAAATTGAGAGGAAAAAACGGATTGCACGTCATAGATGAGTATTCATTCAAACAAGTTTTAAAGTTAACGTTCGCATCAATTGTGATTGTGATTGGGTTAGAACGTCCTGTTTATATTACCTTTTTGCGACATTTTTTATAAAAAATTTCTACATTTACTAACTTTAAAACAGTTTAAGTCCTGGTTAATAATAGATTTAAGTTAAACCGACAAAATAAAAAATCTTTTAGAGTCATAAAAAACGGGGTGTGCATCTTACCAGGGGACAAAGTTGTTCAAAAAATTTGGAATGAAAAATCCTGGTGCACATCTTACTCAAGGTTTTGTGGTAATCATTTGTTTTATTTTTTACTTTTAGAGTCATAAAAAACGGGGTGTGCATCTTACCAGGGGACAAAGTTGTTCAAAAAATTTGGAATGAAAAATCCTGGTGCACATCTTACTCAAGGTTTTGTGGTAATCATCAAGTAAATATGGTACAATAACTGAATAAATACTGTAAAATGAAGTTGAATCGATCTATTAAGTGAAATTTGAAAGAAATACAGCTAAATTCGATTTGGGCAATTTTTGAATTGGGGAATTTTGCTTCATTGTAGTTGTGAATGATTTATTGGCCAGATTATTCAAGTTGTTTATTAATAATAGAGGTTTCACCATCAGAAGTATGCCTAACCCCTGGGAAAGAGCATAGAGAAAATATTTGCATCTGTTCCATACTTGGTTTTCTGGATTATACCGGTTAAAAAAATAAAGCAATATTTTATTTCCAAAAGACATTAAAAATTTGACTAAGGGAGGCTTGACTAAACAAGTTGGAAGTTGGGGAGGGTTAAATTGCATTGGACTTGAGGAAATTGTCCAGGGATCCACTCAAAATTAAACTGATGGATGTATTGGACTCAACGGGGAGTTAAAAATTTATTTTGCTTCTTCAAAATTTCAGGTCCCATCAAGGTAAAATCGTGTTGAAGAACTGCGGTTGACGTCTGAAACAAAGCTCCGCAAAGTTTTTGCAGAACTGAGATTCTCTTAAACGCAAAATCAGCTGGAAATTACATTTCTTGAATCAAGAACACGATCAATTCTCGCATCTAGATCTAATGTTCGGTCTGGCAAGTGCTGGGAAATAATCGGCACATGTGCGCAGCGAGTCAAAGTGAGTAAGTTTTCAGAAAAATGAATTATTCGTCATCAAATCTGTGATTTCATTCACCCAAGCGTTTTTAAACACGCATCCCGCGCGTGAAGCTTTACTGATTCGACTGAAAATATTCCAACTGCCAAAAAAAGGTCACTGCAAAATTCTACTGCCTAGTAGAGCTCATCAAAAAATATCTACAAGGAAGGACGCACATTTCGACTTCATTTCTGTACGGCACTCGCCTTGACTGCTTTTGCATTAAATAGAATCGTAGATGTGTGTAGTGTGCGGATCATTTCTTCATCTAAAATAACTTTCCATCACCAGGAGTCTTTCGGATATAGACTATGTAGTGAACATTTTATTGAAATGATATTTCATAGTGACGAGTTTTCTGACGCATGTATAAAAGAATAAAATAAGCAAGGAAATTTAAATTAGATTTTGAGTAATACTGGAATATATTCTTAGAGCCTTCCAGCATAAAGATGAGACAAATATTTAACATAATTACTCTACATGCACCAGGAATTGACGTTTGCAACTTTACTTCGAAGAGCCATTTTTGAATAAATTTTTGCGAAAGGCGGAAATTTCACAAATGGAAATCATTTATGAAGTTCTATATATAATGCGTTACAGTAAGGATAAAACTGTAACAATCCTCTTGAACATGAGGCAATTAAATCCCTCTTTAACATACACATTCATCAATGTGCATTATTTAGTAGAGCTCAGAATTTCCGGGCTCAGATTGAGAAATCTTTTGATAAACAATTTAAAATTGCAGATTGAAGCAAAAGAAACAAAGTACAGTACAGTAGTTTGCTTTTCAACTGATAAAAATTATAAGAATGACAGAGAAGTAAGATCTAATTGATTATATAGGCAGGTCTGATACGAAAATGTTCTCAAATCAGCAATTTGGAAAATCTCATTTTTGTACTGTATAACAAATTATTCAGTATAACAAACTTTTTTTGAAGTCCCCAAAAGCTTGTTGCAATACGATTTTTCTGTACACTGCATTACGCATTGATTACATATTTTTTTTCGACGAGGATGACATGATGGCGCACTGCTGTTGGTTGAGAATGAAGGATTCGGAAACCCTCTGATTCTGTATAAGGTCGCGCAGCATACACGGGGGGCGCTGCCTTATTCGCCCGGAATAGCAGGGGTTTGGTAGGACTGCGACGGGAGTAGCGCAGTATTCCGAGAGGATGCCGGCGGTCCAGCGCCAAGTCCTCCCTCCTTGAAGTCCCGCGCATGAGCCACATATCCCCGCCGCGAGAGGGGGAACGAGATCAGCGCACGGTTTATTGAGGCCAACCTCTCGCGCGCGTGCGTTTAGTTGGTCCCTGGCTACGTCGACAGGCGTGCAACAGCAGCAGCAGCGGCAGCAGTGACTGAATCACAGCAGCTGCATTTTGCCACCGGGTTTTGCGGGAGAGCCCGAGAAAAAAAATGGTTGTTTACGATTATTGTTATTGCTGGGGGTCCCCGCTATAATGCAGTTGTCATTTTCCAGCGTGTTATTTTTTTTAAATCTCTCTCGATCGTGCAGGGTGGATGGAGCGATTTTAATGCGTCGACGAAAATTGTTGGTCGAATGATTGGGAGGGAAAAGTGTTCAGCGTGCGATGCGATGCTGTGTGGAGCAGTGCAGTGTGCTTACCTTTTGGTGTTGGCTATTAATTATTAAAAGGGACCTGGGAAAACGATTTAGGAAATTTAATTTTCTGAGCTGTGACAGCTTCCGTTTAAATTATTCCATGTTTTTGAGAGGTAGTTTAATGTATAAGTAGCCTTCGTTCGCAGTGCTTCTACTTGTGCTCATTTTTGTTACATGTTCCGGGTCCTTCGCGCTTCATATTCGAGAGTGATGTACGGTATTTTTCTACACGCTTAATCGTAAAATTCGTAACGTTCATTCTCTTGATCGAGAAAAAAGAGGATTCAACAAATATAAGCTTTTTTAATTGCGTCTACCAACGATGATGAAAATCGCTGGTCATCTAATGTTTTTTGTTGTTGTTGTTGGAAGCATTGACTTTGGTACAATACCACATTTAGACGTTGTCGGTCATATTTTGTGTCTTCTTGCAGAAGCTCTTGACAGATACTATGCAGAAAACTTTCGGAATCTTCATTCCAATAGATCCCGCATATAAAAAAAATGCATGATGGCACCTTGACAAAAAATCCAAACCCTGTCCCGAAACTCTTTCAGTCAAATTAAAAGCGTCTTCAGCAAAAATTTCTATTAGATTAATCTAGATTGATGTCATATTTAGCTTGAAATAATTACCCCTTGTTAGAATGGGCCTCTTGAAAAATGCATTGGTTTCTTATGCAACTCTTATTGTTCTACACCGCAATCCTGTGTTGTTTTTTCGTAGAATGAAGCATTGGTATCCAGCAGCTAATGAGCTGGAATTTATTATTCTCCAAAAATGGACGCAATGTTCCAAATTGCTGTTTTCGTGTTGGAATGCTACTTATGTTCGAGTGTAATTATAATGCTTTGGAGTACACGTGTCAGTGCGGAATGAATGGTTCTTATTGATAGTTCGATGCAACCAATTCCCCTTCTGCGTTAATCAAAGCTCGCTTATACTGCTGATTATTTATTTTATGATCTCCCAAAATATAGAACGTTTTATTCACGGTTTAAATCGATTATATTTAATTATTCATTGGTTAATTGAGCTCACTCAACGCGATGAGCGTTTCTTAACTAATCGACTTCTCTCGGTTGGAGAACATCGCGAATTTTTTTGAAGATTTTGTGACGCGAATATTTTCAGAGTCATGTCCGAGACTTGACTGGTTTTCAAAATCTGACTTGTGTGACGATGAATTGTTTCAAAATCTTGCTAAATTTCTAGAAGGCACGTGTGCACCCGGGGAAAGAAGTTACCGAAACCGATCTGTGATACGCTTTTATCAACGCGCGCGGCACGCTGGGGGGACGCCTGCGCAAATGTGTGCCAAGAAACCAAAGGGGCGTTCTGATGTGGATTGACTGCTTGCTTTTGATTGATTGATTGATCCATCCATTGCTTGATCATAAAAATAAAAAAAACGACGAAAAAACGAGACATGTGTGACTGAGACAAAAGGCGGAGAGTCGTTCGGGCGTCGAGCGCGGGCGGCAAGCTGACGACTGACGCCGCGCGGCAGCAGCAGTTCCTGCCTTTGGATCTGCGCCCGACCAAGTTCTTCGATCCCGTTTTCGTCGCGGCCTGTGGCGAAGTTCGGCAGCATGCTGCGAGATTCATCAGTCGCCGAGCTCAGGCACTTGTCTGGTGAGTCTGCTTATACATAGGCTGGACTCTGCGACCTCATTTCTCAAAGCGCATCGGGTCATCTTCTACCTATTTTTTGCGTGCGTGTAGTGTGAGTATGGAGTTGAAAATCCGTCGCGCGCGAATCGGTGCACGCCTATTTACGAGGGGTCTAACAAAAGTTCTCGGAAAAGAAATTAAAATGGCATATAATTGAGCTAAAAAAATTATTCTTTATAGAAAACATATTCTTTGGCACAATAAAAAAATCAGCCCTGTTTGACACATTTTTTTGAATGTTTTGCAAAATTCACCCTGGCAGAGTTTTGCTCTCCACTCATGAGATGAGGTGCCCTTCCTGCAGATTTTGTTGTTGTAGCCCAGCTTTCCCCTCAGAATTCTTGAAATCAACGTGGCATTAATTCAAGGGTTGCCTCTTGGCTTCCAAGGTAATTCCGCCATTTTCATCAACAGCCACCTTCACAATCGCCACATTGGCAGCTGTGAAGGCGGCTGTTGATGGAAATTGTCAAAACTCTGTCCATAAGTGGAATTTTCTGTAGCCTCTTGGTTATTATTTTCTTGAAACAAGAAATAAAAATGCACGGAAAACATAAATTGTCGTGTTTTAAAATAAAAGACTTAAATGGGTAAATGAACCCCTGCCTCCAAGTTCAGCATCCTTTCAACTCATTTAACAACGATTTAAGCCATAGAATATCTCCTTTTAAAATTTTGTGCTATTTTTATATAGTATGTATCCCAGAACAAAAGGGCTTTGTATTGTAGCTCAAATCTTAAATTCAAAACCTCCATAAAAAAAAATCTCTTGACATCAAAATTTTTTGCTGGTCCCTTGAAATTTGACTCACAGGGCTTTGACCGTGGATCAAACGGAGTTTCAAAAATGTTTTTGTTGAAAAACAGCGTTTTTACTTGCATAACCCCATCATTTGGCCAGACTGTAGGGTCAGCATTCTCTCCACCAATTTCAAAGCATTTTTTCTTTCAGTAAATCCAACAATCAAAACAGTGTTGAAAATCAAGTTCTGCTAGCTGATTAAGCAACATGTGACTTCTGGCTTTTCCCAGCAGTGAAGAATGACCTGAAAAGGATTTGATTTTGAGGACAGGAACAGCCTCATTTCCACCATCAAAGAGCAGCTTAATCAACTAACAGAACTCGATATTTGTAACTGTTTTGATCGATGGATTTATCGCACAAAAAATGCATTGAAATCGGCGAAGAGTATGTTAAACATCATTGAAGTGTTGCCAAATAATGGGGCTATGCGACTAAAAAAAATTGAATTGTTAAAAATCTGTTTGATCTATTTCAAAAAGTCTCACAACTTATGAACCAACCCTCGAATATGGCTGCAAGGCAATCGGCAGACGTCTAGTGTAGGATTTGCACTGGAACACTGATTATCCGGGTTAATGGCCAGGATTGCTTTTGTACGGCTGAATAAATATATCGAATGCTGAATCAAAAACGTTTATTCGAAAAAGGTTGGAAATGGCAGGATTTACGCAAATCGTAAAATGAATTTTCCTGCACGATTAGAAAGTGTTCAACTTGACGTTATGAAGAACACAGGCTGCCATCCGTCCTTTCAATTTAAACATAGAACGTTATTTTAATTACTGACAACTTACTCCTTGAAGATTATTCTTTTATTGTAGATCATATAAATTTGAGTATAGAATAAAAACTAAACAAAAATCTCTTTTTTTTGGAACTATGAATCGCTCTGGACACTTCAATTGTATTTCGAAATTTGAATTTTTTTCAAGGGCCAGCAATTATCGTAAAAGGAAAATAAGGGATCGATTATGCTGGCGTTTATCGGGATATTTCTGAAAAAAGACGAAAATAACTCATAAAACGAAAGCGTTCTACAAAATAAGTGACCTGATATGACCAAATACTGCACTGTACGTGAGATTAAAAAAATGAATTGCCAACGCCGGCAAATGACCAACTTAAGCCGGATGTGAACTTTTATATCTTTGAAAAAATCATTCATTTTCCCTTTAACAAAAGAATTTGCTTCCCTTCAAATGGACGAAAATTGGAAACCGAGGAGTGCATATTTCCTGTGGTCCAATAACCAGATGGCCTAAGGCTTATGATTGTGATTTTATTTTAAATCGAAATAAATTTTTCGTCGCTGTGGACCTCATCACAAAGAGTCCGACAATGACCACTTCTGAGTTCAAACGAAAGTACAGTCTTTGACAATACACTATTTTTGTGCCATTCTTTGATAAATACTGTATTTCAGACTTGTTATATTCTGAAATTCTCAACTTCATCAGCCAACATATTTTTATGTACTGTGACTTGCAGATTGCTATTGAACACGTCGAAGTTAGCTTGAAATAATGGTGAAATTTGTGTAATGTGCGCCTGTCATTTCTTTCCAATATTTTTCGAAAACGTAGTATTTGTGGATTTAAAAGTTTTTGTTTTGCATTTTATGAGTACGGACTTTCATATGAATTACTATACAGTACTGCGGAAAATTATGCTTGAATGCCGAGAAATGTTAAAAGTCGAAAGTGAATGGTTTCTTGCTTTCTTCGCTTTCTTTTATATAATAGAACGATCCCGTACATATTCTTGACTCAAAATTCGTGTTGGAGTAAATAACAGACATATTACGTTCTTCGTCGTTTTCATAATTTTGGATCACTTAACCTTGGTTAATCTAAATATTTTCAGAAATGCCAAAAGGGCTCTAATTCAATCTGTCGATTAAAATTCAAGACCTTGGCTTCCGGAATGGAAATCCATGAAAACTAACTTCTAGCACGGCTGAACAGTGTCAACGACGTCTTACATATTTTAAAACACAATTGTTTGAGAAATTTCAACCATACATGCGGACCCATACATTTTTAGCAACTCCTCGCGAAAGAAGGTCGCATCGCGTACCCGGCCTGTGCTTTAGTTTATTGTAGCTACCGTATCTTAATTTTTTTTTCCACCCGACTGCTCAAAATTCAGCAAAACCATTTCGGTACTGTGCTACTGTATCCCACACACCTATGCAGTACAAGTGACCCAAATGAGAAGGCAGACGAAAAGTCCAGAAGTGCGCTTCTCGTACACACGCGGGAAGGTGGAAAAGTAACACAGCGATCTTGATTATCCCGCGTATATGCGTCTGCTAAGGCCACGAATCGAGGCCATGCATCTGGGATGCGATGTGTTCTCAACCCAGAAGGAAGGGCTCGGAAAAGTCTTACAGAAGAAAGAATACATCCTGGACATGGACACGTCTTTTGCGTATCTACGTGTAAAAACAGTAAAAATTTTGTTGAACGTGTGTGAATCCGTGTGGAATTTTTGAGGCGAAACCAATGACTCCGCAACTACTTTGGAAGCCTAGCAAATTACCACCTGCGCAGAGAATTCTCTGGATTTAAGGCTATGCAGTATTTTATATTTACAGACATGCTCATACGTTTATTAAGACAAATTATTCCACTGCAGATCTCTTCAAATTAAACAGTAAATGCATCCCCCTTTTTCAATTGTTAATTCACCCGTTCCTTTGGTTCAACCTGAGCAGTAAATACAGGCATTCACAATCAACCCACATTACAGTACTTCTTGTCATGAAAAAATCAAATTACCATTTAAAAATGTTCTCACGTACCACCGGCTGAAAAGAATTTCCCTAGAGGCAGCAATCTAAATTTTAAAAAATGCTGCTGAAAAAGTCGTCAATATTCACGGCTTTTAGCGAGAAAAGTTGTCACACACCGGACTAATAGGATTATGCAAAAAAGCTCAAAATTGTCTTCAGGGATTAAGATAATTATTTATGCCGATAAGGTAGCCACAGAATACTGTGGTTCTCTCTTCAAAAAAAAAAAGTCTGCCGCAATCAGCACCAAAGAAATAAAAATCAACGCATGAGATAGATTGGTGTACCTGTACATGGTTTTCTTAGAGAGACTAAACTGTTTTTTAATTTTTCAAACATTAGCTGATGATAGTTTCTCGTGTAAAAGAGTAAGACCAAAAATAGGATAACTTCGATTGACCGAAATACCGAACAATCTGTTAACAATGTCAACATTTCGATTAATTGAGAGTAAACAAAGTGAAAAGTGTACTGTACCTCATAGGTAAAATATCACCCACTTATTGCCGCTGTAGGAATTAACTGGGCTGATTAGCTTCGATAATTCAAAGCAGCTTTCGTATATTGAGAAGAGTTTCGTTTTTTCGATTACTCTGTACTGGATATTTTCTTCTACGAGGAAATGCACGCGGTTAATACTGCTGTATCACAAATACAGTAATTGGAAACTATAACTTGGCAAATGAGTATTCTTCGGCTTCGAGAAAATAGCGATAAAAGATTTGCTGAGTAAATCCACGGAATTTCAAGTTTTAACAGATTAAGACGCTCTCGTTTTGTTCGTGTATACACTGTACATGTTACTGTTCAAATCCTGGTTCAGGTTCATCGATCTCAGATAAATCAGAAAACTTCTTCGAAAACGACGTTTTTTGGATTATATTCTGATTCCGTGTGCATTTGATTTAAAATGCCTCAGCTTCAATTTTATTCAAGGAATCGTTAAATACGTGTAGGCTTCGTTTCACTGAAAATACCCAGACCCCCTCTTCAAGCACAAATTTCCCTAGCTTTTGTTTTTTAAAAAAGGAACGACATCGCGATTTTTCTAATAAAACATAAACTCGTGCGCTTAAGAAAAATTCAAAGGGTGCCATTCTCCAGACGGGCTCTGAAAATGTCGGAACGGTTTCGTGTTCGCTGAAGTGGAACTGAGCCGAATTTATTGCGACATTTCATCGAGATAACTTGTATTTTATCAAATTAGAAAACTTAAATTAGTAAATATATTTAGGATCGCATAATAATTCGTTTATTTTTCAGTTATCGACTTTACACCCTCAAGCACTTCATGAGTCCGTCTCTTTTTCTCTTAACCTTGTAGTGATTTTGAAGATTCAATTTGATGAAAAGTTCAACTAAATTTTTATTTAAAAGATCGTCATACTCGAAATTATTCTTGTCCTTCCCCTTGCGAATCTACGACGCCATCGAAGTTCAGATGCCATCAAATAATATAATCCTTAACTTAACTTTACTGGGTGAGCCAATTTCAATGAAACTCGCGTCTTACACAGGGGGTACCTTGTCCTGATGTATTTCGGATATCATGTGTTCTCAGCCCTGCGGCGTAGGCATGTTCGTATGCATTTTCTTACTTTCTTCATACATTTTTATGAGAAAAAAATCCAAATGCCGGGAAGATTTTTTGTTATGCGTCTGTTACTCGCGTTTTCTGGCTGCTGTTGAGGTTCCGAAGTACAGTACTGTATCTGAATTGTAGTATAGTAAAAAAAAAAAGGGTATTTAAAGTGCAGCTTTCTCAATTGCAGTGATGATGAGACGGCAGACAACAGCGAATTCGACGAGGAACCCGACATCCACATCCGGCAACACGACAGGTCGTTTCTGAGCAGGACCGGTCCGGAAATGACGTTGAAAGATGATCAGCGGGAATGTGTCACTGCTGGCCACGCCGAGACCAGCAGTGGGTCCGCCGCCTCTCGTCACCGCTACGATCTTCCAAACGCCGCCAAAACTGGGTCCTGCTCGTCATCGTCGAGCGCGTCGAGCGTGTCGCACATTTCCGAGTGCAGCAATGACTCGGACCAGCTCATGATCTTGGATACTGGAGTGAAAGACGAAGATGTGGACGAAGATGACGAGGACGGGAAGAAATCGGGTCCTTGCGACGAAAGTCGGCCGCAAACTTCCATCAAACGGGAGGATCTTTTCAGGTACCAAAACCAAACGCTTTTCGTCAAATGTGGGATTCTGGTGTGCAGTCAAAAAACTCGAATTAGATTCACTATCCGTCCATGGCCATTCCGTGGCACTAAGTAAACTAAATTGAGGGTATTGTATGTAATAAATCAACAAAAATACAGCGGGGGCAGCACTGAGATGAGGACGTGAATGCTTCTCAAACTGTGTCAAATTTTCAGAAAATCTGCGTTTTGGATCACATTTTCCCATGGGATTAAAGCAGATAATCTTCAGCCACTTTTCACGTTTGGAAAACATCAGAAATATTGCTATAAAAATGTTTTATCAACTTGAAAGATGCAGAAAATAACTTTAAAAAAATTAAGGCCGTTTTGTACATTTTCGAATGTATCAGTAATGGAATCCGTCATCCCGAACATTCGAATGGACTGTTCATGCATTGGATCCAATGTTCAATATATTATGCCTAAATGAAGTGTTGGTCTTAAAAAAAAGTGCAGTGTGCGTTTTCAAGACGTTTATTTACGATGGTCTGCTCGTATTACACGGATAAACGATGTATGAAAGTGACGTCTCACAAATTTTATGCCTACATTTATTGTGATTTGATGTATGACCAACTCAACCCGAGTCGAGCCTTACAAGACCCAAGCTAGATATTTGAACAAATTTTGCATAATTTCCAATACTGAAAATATATTGTATCTTGTGCGAACCTGTGAAACTCTTTTCCAACCACTGCGCAATTTCACGACTCTCATTTAAACCGTGTTATTTCTGCGTAAATTCAGACAATTTTTGCAGAAACGTGTCTGAGCTTTTTGGCACGAAAACCATTTTAATAAACTTTTCATGGCTGACATTTGCCCAGGAATTGAGATTTCGAACCAATAAAAAATATGCAAGTTCGTATTTATGTGACAAAGAAAAAAATCGTATTCGGAATTTTGAGGCATTAAAAAACGATGTATTCTAGCTAATTTCAGGTAGAATATGAGGTTCAAAGGCTCGAAACGTTATTCTTAGCATATATTGCCCTTTTTGGCGTCACTCGGGTAAAATGACGCAGTCGTGACAATGGACTCTTTGTTCCGTGAGACTGATTCTGTTCATCACACTAAATATCAGTGATACCATTATGACGAAACTTGACGTGGTTAGCTAGGGAGCAAGTGCTGTATCACCGACTGAAAGGATTCTCATGAAATGTTCAGGTGCGACCAGTGTGATTTTGAGGCCGTGAACCTTGCGGTGCTGCAGTCGCATCAGCGACTCCACAACGGCGACACGGGCAACTGCAACGACCCGAAGAAACCGTTTCAGTGCGACATCTGTGGGATGAAGTTCTCGAACGGAGCGAACATGCGACGGCATAGAGTGCGTCACACGGGCGTGAAACCGTTCGAGTGTCGAGTGTGCCAGAAGCGATTCTTCCGCAAGGACCATTTGGCTGAGCACATGACAACGCACAACAAAAAGCTTCCTTTTCACTGCCCCGTCTGCAATAAGGGCTTCCAGCGACAAATCGCCATGAGAGCCCATTTTCAGGTACGCGGACGAGAAAGAACGCGATAAATTAGAACAATTCTAAGTTCAGATCACAGATTTTGATCATTCGTATTAGATTAGGAATGAGCCAGATTTGATCCTAAAGCGACAAATTCCAGGATTGAAAAATCAAGAAGTGTTGTTCCTTGTCTTCAAGACGTTCAAAATTCTTGAGAAGCGGGGTTTTTATCTGATATTTCCCCAATCATTTGAACATGCTGATAAAAAAAAGTGAAATAAACCTTGCTTCTAATATTACTGTCGTTTTGAAAAAAAAAATGAGTTGACCGATGTTTTCTGAGGATTGAGTATTGATTTTTACTTTTCTATGCTGTACTGTACTGTATATTTATATTACATGATACAAAGAATTCATCCTGAATGATAAAGAGGTACAATTTTTAACGAGTTTTTAAGATTTTTATTTTGTTAATAAACTCATACTTCCGTGATCATCCCCGAAAATAGGTTTTGCTCGAGAAAATAAGAATTATAATACGCACCATGATTATTGGCGAGGCTGAAACAGAAAATGCGTCTTGTATTTCCGTTAATATTTTTGCTGGTTGTGTTTTTTAGCGCATTTGAAAGAAATTAATGTACAGCAAAATTCAATTCAAGGAAGAAATGGCCCTCCCTGAGTAGAATGTGTTAAAATTTCTCGTGCATAACCTTCAACACTCAACTTGACTGATTTAATTTAGAATGAACACGTGGGGAACACGGATGACGATCAGAGGACGTGCAGACAATGTGGATATCTTGCAGGTACGTTCGAATAAAAAACTACGGAGTAGAACCCAAAACATGCTTTCATGAAAACAATAAAGGAAGAAAACTTCGAAAAATAGAACTTTTTGACAGCTCCGTCGCGGTCAAAAATATCTTTCTGAATTTCTCAATTTTATATGTTCAGAGTCGTCGAAAGATCTGGAGCTTCACGCAGCCAAAAAGCACGGAATGGAGTTGGATTCTTCACCGATTCTGCCGAATGTTGGCTTCAATCACAGTTTGCTGATGAACTTACAAAATCAGCAAGAATCCGCTCTTCTCAACTCGCTCAACATGAATTCGTCGACGTCGTAAGCTAGACCCACTCGTAAAAATTCTGGCGAACTTTCGGGCTGAAGACATTTTTACCCCAATATGAAATTTAATAGCCGTGCTTATGACGAATGTTGCCATATCAAATTTACGAGGAGAGGATGTCCTCCATGATGTAGCACTTCCGTGGAGAAGACTCTCGACAGTTTGGCTGAAAAAAAATTAATGATTCACCCTCGTAGATTTAATGTCGTCCTTCTATCTCCCATTTTAAATAAATTCTTCATTAAAATATCATTTGGAACCGCAGATTTGAAAGTGAGGGAAAATTCAAATTCCACAGAGTGGGTTTCTGATTTCCGTGGGCAGTTGAGGAAAAGTAGCGCAATTAAAAAAGAAAAAATTGTATCCTCAATTTTTTTCTCCTTGCTTACTTTTTTCAACTGCACTGTATTAACATTTGATGATTTCTCATCTCACTTCACATATCATGCGTATACAGTATACCGTAATTATATGCAAGCCGATTTCAAGAATTTCGTAAATTCCACTTTTTAAAATCTTTTGTCGGCTGATTCGATATGAAGTGGAACCCCGAGATGCGGACGCAATTGGTGCATGGACCATGTCCCTAAGTCGGAACGTCCGCATGTCGGACCTCGTTTTCCCATATAATCCAGCGCAAATATTCCAATTGCTTCTCCTGTAGATACATAATTAAGAAAAAGTCCTCCAAAGAATTGAAGAAAATAATTTTTGCTCAACTTCAAGATACAGAAAATAAATTAACAGAAAAACAAAATCTGATCTGAAAAAAAGAAGCACAAAATTAGCCTGTTTTTGATATTAATTATAGGGTAATTTTATCATGAAATTTATTTTTAGAATTTGTGTAAGTAAATTGCTCAATTTCTTTTTTAAAAAATGCGAAAACTTAGGAAAATAACACGCTATATTTTTAAAAACAGAAATCTTGGAAAAAAGCTATTCAATTTCCCACGGTACTTTTCAGAAGCCTGGAAAAGGCGGGATTGCAGCAAGATTCATGCCCCATGTCTCCGCCCAACGACCTGGTTCCGTCTCATTTCCTGGCCCCACACGTCGAGATCAGCGTCCATCAGCCCGGGTCACCTGCCCCGAGCATCGACGACGTTGAACCGGGTTCCCCGCCACCAGCGTCGTCGTCGTCGTCGTCGTCAGCACTAGTGTCAGCACTCGGACGATCCGGGACTGAAGAATGTGGTTCCGAGTACTCAGGGTCCCCTAACGGACGGCTTAATGGAGACTCGTGCAAGCGCAATAATAAGGCCGAGAGCCTCAAGAAGCGGTTCCTGTCGCGACTAGTCGACACTTCCTCGAACCACGACGCTCCCGACGATGACGACTCTCATCACGCCAACATGAAGTCAGGGTCGCGGTCTCCGAGCCCCTCGTCGCACCTTGTTCAGGTTTGACTTTTCTTTCAATTGCATGCAAACATTTGTATCCATGTATTCCTATTTCCTATATTCTGGTAATTCTGCTGTAATTTATAAGACTGATGCAAGTTGTAGCCATCAACTGCAGCTCCCGCGTGTTTCCTGCGAAAAACGTATACTTTTCTGATTTTATTTTAAAATTCTCTGTGCTACGGTTCAAGTTTATAAAAATAAACAGAAAATTCTAAAAAGTGGATGCTTTATTGGAGGGCTAAGGTATGGGATTATGGAATCTTCAAAGCCCACCAAGAGAAACTTGACTTGAGTGAGTTATAGGATGCGGAAGAAGGTGCATTTTACCTTGCTGCAATTCTTGCTCTGAGTGGATATTAAAAATGTCACGATAAACTTTGCCCGTTTGAATGCAATTTTGAAAATTTTTCAGTCTGCAAAAAAAAAAGTTGAGGGAAATTTGCTGGTACATGAAAACATTTATGAAAATTTGGCGGTCTGCGGGACCAAAAAGGTTGGGTAACACTGTTGTGGAGTATACTAGTTTAGGAAACATTCATGTTAAGCGTAGATTGAAGAACATTCGAACAAAATTCATCTAATTTGTCAAATTTTCTGCAGGTGTCTCCACTGAAATCATTATTGCGACAATCGCGGCTCGTTCGCGACGTGTTCGCCACTTGCAGCAACGGCACAGTGGCTCCTACGGGATTCCCAGCAGCTGGACGAAACGGTCACCAATGCGTCTTTTGCAGCATCGTTTTCCCGGACCAGACGCTGTATTTCCTGCACAAGGGGTTCCATTCGGAAGGAAACCCGTGGAAGTGCAACATTTGCACCGAACAATACGCCAACGTGTACGAGTTCAATTCGCACTTGCTGTCGAAGCCGCACCAGTAGCAAATTATAAGCAGCAATTGAAAAGGTTTCGCCGCGATGATGATGAGACGTTCGTTATTGTTTTTTGCCATTCCTGATGCCAGTCCCGACTCTCTTCGGATATTTGCGTGATTTTTCGTTTCCAACAGTGCATTTCCATGAATAATTATTAATTACTCGCTTTTCTGCGTCGAATCGTGTGACATTCCGAGATATTCAATTTCGCTGGGGATTTTTCTGGAAGGGTTTGATCATTTGTCGAAGCAAGTCTTGAATCACGTTCTGAACTGATGCAAGTTTAATTTTATGACACGATCACGGTCTTTATTGATGCTTTGCTGCGGTAGCTTAAACATTTTTTGTAAGACGATTCAATGGAGAGTTGAAATGTTCGAAAAGATCGGAGGAGCCGTGGTCCTCTTATATATTGATTTGACAAGGTTTGATGAACGGATATATTTTTATTTTCCTGAGACCATGTTATTTCTGCTCATCTGTTCACACACATATCATCCGCGCCACAAGTGAGATTTTTGTTTTTTCTGTGCCGAAGGATACGACGAAAGATTAAGTGTTGTTTTTAGGAGAAAAGAAACATCGAACTTTTTCAATACGAAGTCGTTGGTATACTATCGTCATAAACACCACGACATGTAAACAAAGCTTCCACCCAACTCCCATCGTATACTACTCCCGAAAAAACGAAGTCTTCAATGGTAACTGTTTGTTGTTGCTGATTTTGTTGTTGTTGTTGTTGTTATCGTGTCAAAGCCTTATTTGACGAGCGCTGGAAGAGTCCGAGATTGATCTTGTTTCCCCGCAATCGTGCCACCGTCAGGGAAAAAATTTGTAGCTTGAAAAAGTTATGCTTCAGCAACCATATGATAGCAGTATTTGTGGTGCTGTACATTTGTTTCGAAGGTGGGTTGAGGGTAGCATATGATGAGGGCTTTTTTGCTTCAGAAGTTACCATTGATGCACGTTCACTCGGTACGTGTTTGTTGTTGCTGATTTTGTTGTTGTTGTTGTTGTTATCGTGTCAAAGCCTTATTTGACGAGCGCTGGAAGAGTCCGAGATTGATCTTGTTTCCCCGCAATCGTGCCACCGTCAGGGAAAAAATNTTGCTTCAGAAGTTACCATTGTGTTTGTTGTTGCTGATTTTGTTGTTGTTGTTGTTGTTATCGTGTCAAAGCCTTATTTGACGAGCGCTGGAAGAGTCCGAGATTGATCTTGTTTCCCCGCAATCGTGCCACCGTCAGGGAAAAAATGTGAATTATATTGTAAGTGCAACGTTGGCCTTGCTGTACTGAGTTACGCGTGGAAACACAAGGAAACTGAGGAGGCTGCTGTGCTGGGGAACTCTTTTTTGCTTTATTGCCCCCCTTTTTTGCTGTGTGGACTTTATTGCTTTGTTGTTTTGGTCTGATGGTTGCCTTCTTTATCGGCCGGAATTGATTATGTTTTGTGCCGACGACGACAATGAAGTGATGTATGATAAACCTCGTGGGCTCATCTTTTCATAATGTATACCGATACACACGTGTACCGGATGGGATATTTATAGAGCAGGTGTGATTATAAAAAAATACCTGACATAGCTCATGATGTTTTAATGCTCTGGAATTTTTTTTAGGAATTTTAGAAAACGTTTTCAATTTACAGCATAATGATTATGGAAAACTTTTCGGTGTTGCAGTCAGAGTTCTCCACCCATGTCACAGAATGCTAAAAATTCTAGTTCGGTCGATTTTTTTCCCTTAGTAAAAATATTTAACATTTAGATACCACTTCTGTTGTTTGTTTAAATTTAAAAAAAATCGCCCCACTTGAACAAAATTTTGGAACACTGTACCCATATATATGAGACCTCTGGCTGTAACACCTGAAAGTTTCCAATTATCATTATGCAGTAAATTGAAATCCTTTTCTTAAAATCCGAAAAAAATTCAGAGCCTTAGGACATCATGGGCAATGTTATTATTTTGTTTTACAATCACACCTAATTTAGAAATAAGAGACCGTGCCCAACTGGTAAAACCCTCGGATGCAGTAAATTGAAAACTTTTCTTCAAAAGTGCGAAAAAATCCAGAAATTTATAACCTTATAGGCTATTTCCAAAACTTTTTTTCTTTACAAATCACACTTGAACTAAAAATATCCGAGGCCGCCAGTTTGACTCTGTTGGGCGGAGAATGCGAAAATACCTATAGTACTAGCTCTAAATGCTGAGCCTCATAAGTGCGTAAAGGCTAGCTGTCTACGTAGCGGACCTCAATTAAAAAAGGCCATAATACTAATTATCTCGCTAAAACCCGCTTTTTTTTGCATTCAAAGAAATTGTGGTGTCCCTTCGACGCAGCTGACGCGCGAAAAAAAAATCGCTCAACCCTGCACCGAAACCCGTACGAATCCGCCGTCGTCATTTGTACCCCGGGTTTAGACGCGAGGGTCGTGCCAGATCCATAGCGTATTTTCTCAAGCACCTGCATTAAAGAAAGAAAAAAAAACCCCACGACGAGAGCGTGGGTTTCATTCTCTACCCTTCGTTTTGGTCTCTCTATATCATCTTTTAAGCAAGCGAACTCACTGGCGAAGCCTCAAAACGCGATGTGACAAAGTGCTCCTGACAGTGTCAAACATTGCGTTTGCCGCTTTGCGTCAGCCTCACGACAGTTCACTAATTCTTGTTCTAACCTCAACTCTTTTCCTTACACAGAAGAGTCAAGCTGACTTGTACTTTGTGGAAGCCACGGCACAGCGCTTCAAAACAAAGTTGACGCTCAGAAACTTATTGTCGCCGTCAACGCTAGGGCGTGAAATTGATGAATTCCTGAGGCAGGTGATGATATTTTCCATCGAAAAAAAATTGACGTCATACTCATGCTTTGAGTAGCTAAACTTCAAATATTGCGACTGCAATTCAAATAAATTTCTGCCCCTACGCATCAACATCCTGTTTTTACAATTTTTCGTAAAGAAAATTTCGATTTCCGGGGCAAATGATCAACTGAATGAACAATTACTTTGCCTCAGCTGCTTGAATAGCCCCTTATTGATGGTTATTGTAATTAGTTGGATTAAACAAAGGAAACATTCCAAATGATTGGATATTTTTGGTAATCATAGTGAATTAGTCCGGAAAATTAGAAACAAAAATACATTATATCATAGGAAAAAAGAAAACAGCTAAAAAAAATGTTACGAGTTGGTTGCCGCTGCGTTTCCGTTGATTAACGTCACAAGATTAATTCACTACCTATTGAAGAAAAAATATCAAATATTTTATTGCATCACAAATATTTTCGATGCTGTCGTTTCTATGTGAAAAGAAAATTTTCCTAACAGAACTAAAGAATATAAATGGAGGCCAGAGTAAATAAAGCTTGGAAATGTTCAATAATAATCCGAAGCGGATGCTGGGTTGTGAAATTTACTAATATTATGGACTTAGTTTCCAAAGAAATCAGCAGTTCATGCCGTCAGGAAAACTTGAATTATACGTAAAGTTCTTCGAAGTCCTGCAATTGAATGTCATAAAACAGTGGTACTTGGTACCAATAACTAAAATAAAAGCCAGGATGCACCATGTCTTATAAAAGTCGCGAAGTCCTTTAAAAAAGAGTTTGCCTTGCTGGTTTAAATATGCGATTCAGGTTTCAAAGAAACAACGGTGGTCTGTTCAGTTTAATTTAAAATATTGTTTTTGTAAATGATTTTTTCTTGTGGTTATGAGCGTCTTTGAAAAAAATAATACCTAATACATGTATAGTAAGGTACTTGCCTTCGAGAATATGTATGGTCTAGGACTGAAGTAGCGTAAAGAAGCTTTCCTTACGCTTGAGGGCGGCACTTCCTTCTTTTGGCTGTTCACACCTTCACCCATACTGTCGTGTGACGGAATAATTCGGTACATTATTGTACCGTCCTCCGGTGGGTACCGCAAACACCTGCAATAATAAATGTCGATCAGTTTCAGGAATCCACAGGAACATTCCAGAACATTCTACTGGAGAATTG